CTGCTCCTACAGATACAAATATATCAGTAATATTAAGTGTGAAATCAATAGGTGCACCTTTAATGGATGGATCACCAGTTAAAGAGTTTGATGTTTTTGCCATGCAAAGAGGTAATGTATCATAACCTAATTTATTATATTTTTCGATTTTTTTCTGAACCTGCATTAATTTTGTTAAAATTGTTAATTTTATACATAATTATGCAAATTATATATATATATATATATTATAAACTTATTGAAAGTTTACTTTGTCTGCAAGAATAACTTGTCCAGCTCCATATATTTCTTTAGCAATAATATTTATTTTTTCTTCAATATTAATATTAAGATCATATAATACTTTAAAATTATAATGTTTATTTGTGGCAGCTATAACTGCATCTGCAAGTGCTGTAGCACCTGCACCACCTTCTGTCCAGTGATTACATATAATTGCATCAGTTGCACCACTTTCTATTGCAGCTTTTTTTATTAATTCTAATTCAGATTGAGTATCAGTACTAAAATAATTTTAAATTTATTTTCTTTTATATAGTAGTTTAAAAATATATATTATAGTTCAATTATGAGTTATATTTTTTATAAAACTTACGCATGAACGTTAATGGCAACAATTACTGGAATGCCAAATTTAATTCCATTACTAATGTGCTTCTGAAGATTTGGAAGACCTTTTTTAATTAAATCAAGATTTTCTTCGAGATATTCTTTTTTTAATGGAGCACCAGTTGTTACTGGAGGCCCACCACCATGCATTTTTAATGCTCTAACAGTTGCAACGAGCACAATAGCATTTGGTACATGTTTAGATGCCCGACATTTAATATTAAAGAATTTTTCCATTCCGATATCAGAACCGAATCCAGCTTCGGTTACTACGATACCTTCGGGACCAACTAATTTTAATGCAATAGCATCCGCAATGATAGAACTACAACCGTGTGCGATATTTGCAAATGGTCCAGCATGAACCATTACTGGTGTTCCTTCTAAAGTTTGCATAAGTGTCGGTTCAATGGCATCTTTTAATAGAATTGCCATTGCTCCAGTCATACCCTATATATTTAATATATATTAATATATTTAATATATAGTAATATATTTAATATATATTTAATATATTACTAAGCAATAAAATAAAATATTTGCGATTTCATAATTTAATATACTAACAAAATCTTCGGCAGTTAAGGGTTCTCCATTTTTGTTGAAAGCAACTACTATATTACCAAGTCTCTGTTTCATATCATCAACACTAGTTGATAATGCAAGTATTGCCATTATTTCTGAACCAACAGAAATACAAAATGATGTTTGTCGTGTTTTACCTTTCTCAGTTGAATTTTCACCGATTGTAATTTTGCGTAAAAATCGATCATTTATATCAACCACTAAAATAAATATATTTTATTAATAAAAAAAATTTCTTTTATAAATTTTAGACATGATAATTTTTATATTACCTCGAGTCCAAGTGATATTTTCTGGATCGATATCTAATCTTGCAAATTTTCTTTTTTCTTCTTCAGTTAAACTATTTGGATCAGTTTTTGTAATACCTAATTTTTTTAAACGTTTCAATTGTATTTTTGAAAATTTTCTTTCATTTTTAATTGTTGGTACAAGACGATTATAAAGAGCCTCATCGGTTTGCGTACACTCATGAAAATATCGAGCATCAATTTGTGCTGCTAATAAATTATTGGCTGCAGTCACAGCATGAATATCACCAGTTAAATGTAAATTAAATTCTTCCATGGGAATGACCTAAATATATATGTTTTTTTTACATTTAATAACATATTTTAATATAATAAAAAACTTATATAATCAAGGAAATATTTTGTATATGTCATAGTTTAGTTTTAACTTTTTATATTCTAATAATTTATGTAAATGATATTATGATTGTATATCTTTGATATTAAGCTTGTATATCTTTGAAATATTTTTTTATAATAATTTCAATACATGATACCTGCGAGTATCCTCCACCTGCAGCTCCACCTTTCACTCCAAACGTAGGTCCTTGACTAGGTTGCCGTAAAGTTACAAATGAATTTTTACCTCTGTGTGCAGTTAATGCTTGTACTAAACCTACTGATGTCGTACTTTTACCTTCACCGAAAGGTGTTGGTGTGATACCAGCAACTACTACGAGTTTTCCATTTGGTTGATGTTTCAATCGTTTTAAAACATTCAAGCTAATCTTTGCTTTTTTACTTCCATAAGGACTGATTTCATTAGAGAGCAAACCAATTTCTTCAGCTAAAGTCGTGATTGGTTTAGGTTCTTGATTTCTTGAAATTGTTATGTCGCTAGGTACCGGTTTTTGAGGATTGATTTTTAAAATTCTCAGTTTCCATTTTTTGTTTAATATTTTTTCAGCTGCTTTTTGTGCAGATATTACTGTATTTTTCATCAACATAGCTACAGTCATTGGACCAACGCCTCCAGGTACAGGTGTAATATATGAAGCTACTTTTACAGCTTCTTCGTAATCAACATCGCCCACTAAACGTTGTCCACTATTCTTTGTAGAATCTAAAAAAATCCTTTAGATTATAATACTATTATTGATTATTATTATATAAATTTATTATGTTTTTTTATAATGAATTTTTTATTTTTTACATTAAATATTTTTTAGAATTCTATTGAAAATTAAAAAAAATTAAAAATAAAATTTGTGAGCTTGAAATTAGAGGATAAATGTAAAATTTTGCTAAACAAGTTGAAAATATTTAATAGATCATTTATCTTTTGTTTATTATTTGTCTTATTATATTTACTATTTCGAAACTTTAGTTTTATGTAATGAAAGAAAGAGTATATTAAACATAAATACTGATAACGAATTATATGAAATTAATATTTTTCAGTTGGAGAATCATAACATTGTTTAATAATTATTTTAATTGTTAAATTGATAATGCGTAATTTAAAAACTAAAAACAAAAAATTGATAAACACAATACATAAAAGAATTACCTGGAATAGAATTGATTCCACAATCAATTACTACTGCGCCCGGTTTAATCCAATTTCCTTTAACCATCTGAGGTTGCCCTATACCAACCACTAAGATATCAGCTTGTGAGACCTTTAATTATAAATATAGTTACATTTATTTTATAATATTTTATATTTTATACGTAATTTCATAATCTTTCAGTCATAGTTTTAGTAATACTCACAATTTGTGGAAGATTTTTTGTTTTTGAATGACACACTGTTACAGTTGCGTTATGCCATTTCAAAAGTTCAGATATAGGTGTACCAACGATTTTACTTCTACCTAAAACTACAGCTTGAGCTCCTGCAATTGGTACTCCGCTCCTGGAAAATATGATTTTAATTATTATATATTAATTATTATTATATATATATTATATATTTTGTTATATATTTTATATAAATACAAATTATTCATTATTCGAAATATTCAATTAAGAATTAATTCATTTTAAAAATTATTTTTTTTTTAGCATATCCTATTTTGCATATTAATTTTCTAAGAATAATAAATTATATTATTATCTGAAAAATATAAAAATATTTTCAATTACTTTTTGATTAATTCAATACACCCGTTTGGTGTGCATGGTAAAAATCCCGACATATCACCAATAGCTACTCTTCCTTCATTGATTGTATTTAATCTAGAAATATAATAGAATTTTATTTTAATATTTTGATTATAAATGCTTTAATTTATTCTTAATTATTTATTTTAAAAATAATTAATAAAATAAAAATTAATGTTTTAAAATCTTTTAAATCTATAATGTTAATAATAGAGGCGTCATTTTAATTTAATGAAAATATCAAGATATTTCAATAAAAAATAAATAAAAAATGATTATCATCAACTTTGCAACTATTAATCGAAAAATGTTTGATTACGTTCTTATCAGTTAATTTGAGACATTTTGCGTTAAAGGTCAATTCTATATGTTAATATATTTTTACATTATTCCTAATTAATTTTTATAAAACAATTCAATTAAATATATTTTTATTACTTGTATATTTTTATTTATTTTATATTTAAGAAGATATATATATATATAATAATGTAGAGAAATAATATATGTATATTATATATATTATATTTATAAAATATATATAATAACAAATTTCGCAAAACTTACCCATCTACATCTTTTTCGGGTAATACTAAATCAGTAATCATATTTGAATTAATTTTATTGATAGAATCAAGTGGCATTTGTACAATAATACCATGTATATTTGGATCTTGATTTAATTTATTCACTTTGTTTATTAATTCTATTTCTGTGATAGTGTTTGGTAATTTTACATGATCTACAACAATTCCAATATCATTTGCTGCTTTTATTTTCATTCTTATATAAACATTTGAATCTTCTCGACCGCC